CCGATGTTCACGGCAGCGCTGTACCCGATGTTTTCCGGGTGACGACTCACAACCAGGCGTCCGGACCACCCATAGACCCTCTCGAGATCCTGCAGGTACAACGACAGCATCGCCTCCCGCCCGTTCTGCACCAAAACCAACAGCCGGATTGGCACACTGATTTTGCACATCATCCTCCGAAAGTCCATCAGATCGAGCATCAGCGGGACCACCATCAACGGGATAACGTCCGTCCCGTTATTATTTCCCTCAGCTGCCGTGTCGTTGGATCCACCAGAAGCCTTTCCCCGACGCAGCGGATATATTCCGCCCTGGTCGGATCAACACCAAAACCATGCGCGGGATCGTCACGAAGTATGAACTCCACTCCAAAAAAAAAAAACCATCAACATGGACAACAAATTTAATGTTAGAAGAAAGATAAAGCATCCTTTTCCAAAAAGGGCTCGTGGCTTCGGTTTTTAAACCACGAGTAACTCCGCGCATATCCCGTTGGAGGCAAAGCCAAGAGAGCATCTCCTGAAAGAAAGAAAAAGAAAAAGAAAAAAAAGAAGATGCACAAAAATGACTCCGTGTTAATGTGAAAAAAAAAGACTCCTTCCAGCGCAATGGCCACGCATGGATAACGTCCTTGGCCTTCCGTCCGCACAAAAAGGCTCGGGTGCCCCAATGAAACCCTCCATGCGGGAAGGTCATCAGAGACACCGCAAACCGCACCAGGTACAAAAACAAAAAATAAGCAAACGAATAAATCCATAATGAAGCCCAGCGCCTCAGCGTGTCTTCTGCAGCACCACTCGTCATCACAAAATATTTAAAAAGCGACAGTGTGGTAAAAGAGAAAGATCGAACGGAGGCACAAGTCCACCATCAAAAGTGATGTGGTTTTCCAAAGCTGCGCTCCAAACACAGCAAGGGTTCTTAAACTAAAAAGGAAAAAAATCAATCATCTCATGGGTAGGAACAAGAGTAAAAACGGGCGTCCGTCCGCCTGAAGGAGAAGGGACTCCACCGCGTTTTCCTCCACGACGCAAACACCCCGCGTCCAGTGCCCGGTGTCGTGTGCGGACTCCGCGAGGATGTTTTGGGCACGCCGCTGCGCCACACGGTGTGACCCCCTCGGAACGCAACAGCAGACGTGTTCCCTTCCGGTCGCACTCGTGGCGGTGTCGGCATCCGCTGCCACGCTGCGTGCTGCCGGCGTCGAATACAATGCTGCAGAGAGTGAGAGAGGGTGCCCGACAGGAGCGGCGCTGCGTTGGGTGGGCAGTGCCCTCCGCGGCGAGACACCCAGCGCGACTCCTGACCGCTGCGCTCACGTACTTCCCTCCGCTCCTCTCCCTCCATTCGGCAATCGCACAGCCGCCGGCACATTGTCCCCGAAGCAACACACACGTAAAAGCGTCGTGGCATATCTCTCGAGAGAACAGATTGACAGCCACACGCTGCGGCCATCGTGCAGAGAGGTGAGCCCTCGGACAACTTTGTTTTGGGGCCACGCGCACCCCCGCAGGGGTCACCCACAGCAACGCACAAAAGGGCAATCAAAAACATTCACCCACCGTTACCGCCATCGCACATCTACAGAAGAGACACAAACGCGCAAAAAGGCCAACTCCACCGCAGACGCACAATCACGTGCACCAACAGCCGAAAAGAGGAGTCTCTCACCGCGTGCAGCATCGATGTGCCGGGCGGTACTGCATATCAAAGCAATCGTGCTGCACGCGGTGCGCTGCAGACAAAATGAAAGGGAACCGCAACGTGCCCCCCTCCCGGTGTCCCTCTCTTCTTCATGTCCACAGAAGAAAGCGGCAGAAGAAAACCAGCAGAGAAATGATTGGCGATCGTCCATGGACAGCGCAATATTTTGTGCATCGTGTGCGTGTGCCTGCGTATACGCAAAAAAAAAAAAAAACCCAAATGAAGGAAAAACATGTGAATAGACACGGAAACACACAGCAGAGGTGCAGGGGCAATAAAGGAAGAAGAGAACTGCTGCAGCTCGTGACAGCACCGCAGCCCCAGCAACGGCAATCCACAAGATATTTGCCAAATAATAATAATAATAAATTGATATTTGTTTCCCATTACGCCTCATGCCAAAAAATAAAAAAAGACGACAAGTTCGTCTCGGCCGCGCAAATCACCGTGTCCACACGGCGTTTATATTCCACTGAAACACCCATTGCGCTGCTGTAATTTCCATGCCATTTTTGTTTTTATTTTGCCTTCACCAGCATCACCAGCGTAGAAGGCGGTACCGAGAGCTTCAGCGGTCACTGGAAAAAACAAGAAAAAGATGCCGCTCCGCACACAAGGTTCTCCGAATATATAAGAAAAGAGAAAAAAGACAGGAAATTGGTGCAACACCCCAAAAGAATACGAAGAAAAACATTCGTCAGGCCGCTGGCCGGATCCTGAAATTATCTAAAGAAACCAAAAGATAATGAGAAGGGGTAAATGGAAAGGCTATGAATTCGCCTCAATATTTTCATCCAATACATACATACATACATATATATATATATAGAGAGAGAGAGAGAGATTCCGATGACCACTCACGTGGCCTTTTGCACAAAGTTAAAATTTCAAATTTACTTACCTACGAGGTGACAGACTTTGGGGTCCTCCGAACACAAGGTCTCGCCGCTCCGCCTGGCAATTTCCACCCCTTCGCCACGTCCTGAAGTCTAAAAACACGACCGCGTGATATGCCGTCTGCGGGGTTTTCTGCAGACCGTACGTATGCAAAGGATGCCTGTATTCCGCGAGAGTCAACAAACTCATATATCCATTTCAGCTCCCACGTCATGGCGTGCGATTTCGAGCTAACTTTATTCGCCACTCCTTGCAGCGAAGTATTATCCACCCAAATGTCCATGGTGGATGGCAAGATGGCGGGAAAGGCCGATAAGGCTAAGCGTAACGCGCGTGCCTCGGCCTGCATGATAAGAAAAGGCTTCCTCTCCCATTTTCCTCCGACAGTTATAACGTCGCCGGAGTATGGAATGAAAACGGCTCCTCATCCATGGAGCGACGCGTCCGTGATGATGGCGGCCGATGCCTTTTCCGTGGGCTTGATGATTCGCTTACGATTGTTTTCGATGATGTGTCGTAATCTCTTGCCCAAACCAACCGCTGCCGGCGGAAGGTTCGTTGGGGATGTCTCCTGCACAATCCCTTGGTTAAGTGCCGATAATCGTCGTCGCACTGCCTTGATGAAAAAGTAGTAGTCGCATAATTGCGTGCCCAGAATGGCAGCCGCGGGCAAAAAGCGTGACGCCGTAACCTCCATTCCCGCGATGGTTAAAGATTTGAGCGCCGGCATGGCGCATACACACCGGACAAACTTGTCACTCAGGGATACCGCCTGGCGAGTATGATCAAACTGCACCCCAGGAAGGTGTACTGCGTGGCGCCCGATTCGCGGTCCTCCCTATCGTGGCGTGACAACTGTCCGCATTACGAAGCACTTGGGCTTCCCACAATGTCGCATTGCTCTTCGACCCTGCAATGCGTATATTATCGATCCAAACGTCGATACGCACCAATGGAGGTGCAGCCCAAAGGCGGTGAACCACCGTCGTCACCACCGCAATGGCCGAAGTAATAATCTGGAGGATTTCTGGGCTGACCTTGTATCCCATAGGGAGCCGTGTCAGCTCCACCAGCGTGCCGTCCCCCACGCGGCATCGAAAGAGACGCCGAGTCTCCCGCGGTAAAGACTTGAAAAAAGGATGCCTTTAATTCCAGGCAGGAAGCGGCCTCAGCCATCACAGGTGGCAAATAATGGGAAATGTGTAAAAGAGGAACATTCGCCTCATAAGGGTCGTCTCTGTTCTTTTCGCGTGGCCACGCAATCCATCGTCGTCGTAAACCGGTGGTTTTCTCCACCACAACCGAGAAAGGTATTATCCATCCGCATGTTGTTGTAGACGAAGCGTCCTCGATTATTCCCGCTTTTCGTAACAAACGCGCGTCAGCGACTGGAATCCTCCGTGAGCCTTCACGCGCTTTACCGGAGGAAGACGGAAAGAAAGGGGACCGCCCGAAAAGCCCTCAAACATGCGTGAGTCTCTCCAAGGTGGTTGGATTTAACCGACTCTTAATCCACTTTGGTATTCAATACGGGCACGTTGAATTGTTGCTTTAGCGGGATTGTTCGTTCATCTTGTGGAGTGGCCAAACGCGTCCTTGTCACGCGTCTTGTAATTGTAGCGGAGTAAGGATGAAAATCATAAAAAAACGCTCCTCTGCTTTCAACCAGGGTTCCTGCCCTTCCGCAGCTTCTCCTCTCATCAATACAACCAGCGACGACACCTGGGTCAGCATTGTGGTGTACTTCCACAAATATCGAACTGTATTCTGGGGAAGTTCGAACGGATTGACGTGCTTCGCCAACTGCGAGATCACTTGTGGGTCCAAATTGTATGTCTCCACGATTGGAGCAGCGCACCGCAGCGCACCGCGTTTTATGGAATGCGTCGTGGCATTCCAAGGAGCCAGAGCTCGTTCGACTTGGGCGGTCGTAATATTCGTGAGCTTTTTGTTTTCTTGAAGTGTCCTGCATAGCTTTATAATGTCGAACGCATCCTGCCCTCGTATCCTCACGAACCGCGAGGCGCGCTGGGGATCCGCCCTCGCCGTCTTTGGCGCCACGGACCGATCCAAAATTATGTTCCCGTCCGGCTCCAGTGTGGAATTTTTGGCTGTCAAGGCCGCAATCTCGGACCAACGACTCGCCGTTATCCACGCAAGTCGTAAGATAACACGTTGCTTCCAATCGGTACGGCTGCGGATACATTTATCCACCGCTTTCCTTGTTGAGGGGCGCGCCTGCTTCGTCTCCGATCGCGCCGCAATTTTTTGTAACCCCACAATCATCATGTCCGGCGGG